GAATAGGGTAGCTCCGCTCAACACGCATCAGACCCTCCTTTCAACTGCGCAGCTAGAGAGGCAAAGAAATGAGTAGAAATTTAATTGAAATGAATACGCTCTCACTTACAGATTCCAAGGTTTGTTTCTTTTTTTTAACGCAATAACCTGAGGTGAGCAGAACTCCTTTATGAGCTGATATAAATCCTTTAATGTCTACTTAAAACAGCAGAGAGATGTTGGATGTTTTATAAATAGCATGAAACAGAGATTTTTCATTTTTCGAGAAACATGAAAATAAGAACATGGTTGATGTTGTTATTTGTGTTATTTTGCAGGTATATGTCTTGCTTTATCTGCATGCTGAATGTTTTTCGCTCTGACAGGAGAGCGGGGGGGGGGGGAATCGGTTGAACAAAACGATTCATCTGTGAATCCTGCCTATACTGGATGTTGATCAGACTAACATGATGATGCAGCCCACCCAGAAAACTAGATTTCCTCTCTGCTCTCTTTGGAGATAACCCACCTCCGTTTCCTGTGGAGTTAGGGGAGACCGAGTAGGAAAGGGGAGAACAAGAGACATTTCCAAGAGATCCTGGTGGGGAGGCGGCAACAGCTGGCAAACATCCTGTTACTGGGATGAGGTGAATTTAATCCCGTAGAGATAACTCAACTAGAACGGGGAGAAAGAATCTCCCCTTTTCTCCACATAAATCTTCCACAGGTTTTGCTCCTTTAAAATTTTTTCTTATTATCAGTCAAAGTTTTTTTTTTTTTAAAAGGCAGAGGACTGTTTTTTTTTCCTACAACCATAAAACAAAACATTCAAATCATTTCAACTTTCACACACGTTATCAACTAGCTTTGTGGGTTTTCCTTTAAATCTGGTACTAATGAGGTAACCAAACACAAGGCAGCACATAACTATGAAAAAAGACAAACCATTCAGAGTTATTTTGATGATTTTCAGAAAAATAATCTGCATTCTTATTCAGCCACTCTGTCCATACTTTTCAGACCTACATCCAGCTACTGCTGTTAGTTCTTCAGGGTTTGTCTTTATCAGCTTTATGTATCTGGAAACAAGGTATTTCATTTTCAGCTCACTCAGATGGCTGGAAATCATCTGCAAACACCAATGTTAATGTTCTGCCACTTAGTGCCAAGTTGGATTTAGAAGTGGACTTTGACTAGGCCATCCTAACATAAATATTCCAAAAAAGTAAAAAAAACAAAAAACAATAATCCACTTGACATTGTTTCAGAGTATGAAGACGTTTCGCTTCCCATCTAGGAAGCTTTTTCTATTCAAAATGTCAGAAATTGTCATGATCTGGCCTGTTTGCTCTCCCTTAATTAGTCATTCCTTTCACCTGTCGTTTTCCCTCCCTGCCTCAATTATAATTTATTCCTCTCACCTGTTTCCTCTGGTTTATGTTCAGTTCAGCCTGAGCATTCAGTGCCAGATCATTACTTGTCTTTTTGTTAGTGTGTCTGTTCAGTTTTTGCCTTGGTTCATGTCCTGGATCCTGACGGCCAGTGGAAAAACGTTTTTTGTGTTTGTCTCGTCTCCTGATCGTCCACTGTTCCTCCCCCGCGGAGTCCTCTGGGTTTTAGGCTCTATATGTGGGGAGGTTCAGTTTTTATCTCAGTAAGCCTGGCTCTAAGGTGGAGACCAGTTTAAAGTCCTGCATCAAGTTCTGGTTCCACGTCCTGTCTCGGCTACCCTCTTTCACTAAGCCTGCTCATCTGCACCTGATCCTGTCTGCTCCTGTGCATGACCACCTGGTCACGCTTTCGGACCTTGTGAGACTCTGAACCCTCCTGGGAGCCTGTGGATGCCTGGAAGTCTGGATCCTGTCCGTTTCTGTTCCTGCCTGATCTGGATCCTGTTCCCGTCTGTTCTGGGGACCTGACCAGGATCGGCTTCCAGCATGTCCTCTGGAACTGCAGCACTTGCGGACATTCTTGGACTGGACTGTTAAATTAGAGTGTCTGTGATTGGGTGGTGCCCTGCTCCCCATCCTGCAGTGTCCGCGAGCCACAGCTCCACTTTAGTTTTTGTTTTATTTAATAAACTTTTTGAACCTTCCTACTGACTGTCTCTCCTTGAATACTGGGTCTATCTGTCCTCGGTTCATGACAGAAATAGTGTTGAGTTTGATGCTTTAAAGAGAGGACGAAAACCAAAGCCTTGTTTTGGCTTAGAGAACATGCAAATTGAACTGGAAGAACGGGTCCACCCCATTGGAATGGGTGTCGTTTGCTTTCTTTGTTAGCCTGTAATTCCCGATACCTGTCTATGTCTCTGAAAGGGGGGTTGTTATAAGGAATTGGAAACAAAGTCCAGTGGATTGTTTNTTCAGTTCAGCCTGAGCATTCAGTGCCAGATCATTACTTGTCTTTTTGTTAGTGTGTCTGTTCAGTTTTTGCCTTGGTTCATGTCCTGGATCCTGACGGCCAGTGGAAAAACGTTTTTTGTGTTTGTCTCGTCTCCTGATCGTCCACTGTTCCTCCCCCGCGGAGTCCTCTGGGTTTTAGGCTCTATATGTGGGGAGGTTCAGTTTTTATCTCAGTAAGCCTGGCTCTAAGGTGGAGACCAGTTTAAAGTCCTGCATCAAGTTCTGGTTCCACGTCCTGTCTCGGCTACCCTCTTTCACTAAGCCTGCTCATCTGCACCTGATCCTGTCTGCTCCTGTGCATGACCACCTGGTCACGCTTTCGGACCTTGTGAGACTCTGAACCCTCCTGGGAGCCTGTGGATGCCTGGAAGTCTGGATCCTGTCCGTTTCTGTTCCTGCCTGATCTGGATCCTGTTCCCGTCTGTTCTGGGGACCTGACCAGGATCGGCTTCCAGCATGTCCTCTGGAACTGCAGCACTTGCGGACATTCTTGGACTGGACTGTTAAATTAGAGTGTCTGTGATTGGGTGGTGCCCTGCTCCCCATCCTGCAGTGTCCGCGAGCCACAGCTCCACTTTAGTTTTTGTTTTATTTAATAAACTTTTTGAACCTTCCTACTGACTGTCTCTCCTTGAATACTGGGTCTATCTGTCCTCGGTTCATGACAGAAATAGTGTTGAGTTTGATGCTTTAAAGAGAGGACGAAAACCAAAGCCTTGTTTTGGCTTAGAGAACATGCAAATTGAACTGGAAGAACGGGTCCACCCCATTGGAATGGGTGTCGTTTGCTTTCTTTGTTAGCCTGTAATTCCCGATACCTGTCTATGTCTCTGAAAGGGGGGTTGTTATAAGGAATTGGAAACAAAGTCCAGTGGATTGTTTTTTTTTTTAGCTTTTTTGAAATGACTAACACCTGGATGACTGAGAATCTTCACCAACATAAATGTGCTTTGATCTAACTCACCTCTTTTTAACTCTATCTCTATGTTCATAATTGTTTTCCTGCTGGATGTGATCCTTCACCCCAGTCCAGGTTCCTTGTATCTCCTCCATGCCGTTTCTTTCTCTAACGCCCCATATTTAGCTCCATCCATCTTCCCACTGAGCGACCAGCCTCTCCCTCATTGCTGCTGGTGATCTGTGAACAGGACGTCTTATGGCTGTGAGGTGTTTGTTAAATCAAGAGTCCTCTGGTCAAAAGATTCTGTAGCTCTCAGTTTAGGTAAACGTAGTGGTAGATGTTGCATTTGGTGCTATCCTCTTCCTTTGTAGAGATAATGGATTAAACTGAGTTCTGTTAAATTTTAAAAATTAGGTGTTCTAATCTTTCCCTGCTTTAAAATTCTCCACAGCTTCGTCCCTGACCTGTCTGCTGTGTTCCTTCATCTACATAATGCTGATTGTTCTGTAATAAACCTCTGAACCCAGGAAAGACGAAGACGAAACCTCAGATAGACTCTCTTTGCCAATCAAACAACTATATTATATTAAATTAATTTCCCTTACCCATACATGCCTCCTGAGGGTGAACCATTTTCATGTAGATATATACATATAGAAACAGTTTACATGCTCAGGTGTTGAAATGTTTTGCTACAAAGGTGATCTGAAACACCTGGGGTAAATCATCTGATGACACTTTTCCAAAGTTTAGCTCCAACATCACAGGTTATACAGCTGCACCAACATTTTTTTTTTTTTTTTTTTTATCTTCTTTCATTATTTTTCTTTTACTTTGCACAGTTGTTACTGGGTGTTTTTCCTGGTAATCCAGCTTGTAGTCTTTGTTTTTCCAGTTGAGTTCTATGAAATTGCCACCAGTCAGTCCAGATGAACCACTCTGACTGACTGACACCTTATTACTGTTATGATGGCAGCCGCTTCAAAACAACTTTTTTTATTTTGCGTTTTGTTTTCCTTAACTTGGTTTGTGGCATCTTAAGCATTTGTTTTGCCATCTCTGAGGAGGTACCTGCATATACGCTGTAGTAACAATCAACAAAGGAGGGAATCTCTTGGGTCATATTTCAGATATCTGAGGGTTTATTTTTTTTAATCTGTTTTTAAAGGCATGACATTTAGATTCTGTTGAATGGAAAGAAGAAAAAACCCTCATATGTCCAGTTTTGTTTCCCTTTTAGCTGTCATCAGAAAGGTTTCTATATAGAATGCTTTGTCTGCAGCATTATCTGGAGAATAAAATATGTTTATACTTCATGTGAAAAATTGCACAGAATTTTGCATCAAATCAGCAGGTACTGGTTCAAATCTGTTGGTTCTGGTTCTATGTGCCTCCTGCGCTGCATCCTAGATAATCCTCCCTCTAGACACAAGCCTCAGATTGGATCAGACCCTCTTTCAACAGTCGACAGCTAGGCTGATCTGGAAGAGAGACCTGCTGCAAAGTCACAGCCCATAAGGTGAGGATGCTTCTTTTTTAACATGTTAAAACTTAATCAATATTATTTTCTTTTAATTTTCTCTTTTTATCCACTTTTAATCTTTGTTTAAAAATAGTGGATAGAAGATAGTTTCACAACTATCTTCATGCTAAAATGCCTAACTTTTCAGTTGTGTTGGATTCATTTGCTGCTTTTAATCAATCAAAAGAAAAAAGAAAAAACAATCACAGCTTTTTAATCATGGCATATGTTTGTATTGTTTTTAGTGATAGCACTTGAGTGTGCCTGATACAAGTATGGGATAAAAACTCAAATGAAATTCATGCTGGATGCTTAATTCAGTGTTAGCCAGGAGAACAAAATAGAAAAATGTAATGTGATTA